AAATCCGTCTAGGGAGTTCGTAGAATTAGTATAGTTTGGACTCTAAAAGAAACTTCGCCATATCCGCAATATTCATGTTCGTACTAAAAGAGTTTTGCTGAGTTGTACTTGCAACGAAAACTATTGTTTGATATATAAATACATAATTCCAGAAAGATAAAATTTTATGATTGAATTTTAAAGTATACTGTGTGAAATGTATAGGTATAGTATTCGGAATCAAATTTGATAGCGATACCATTCCATACATTTCTTTGAACAAAATATTTTCACAGATTGGTATTGATTGTTTGACATTGATTTCTATTTGTTATCTTCCCTTTTTGTAATTACGTTTATAGCTAATAAAGTTAATTAACACTTTATACCATTAATACATATGTATACTTTTTTTAAATATACTGAAATAAGAGGAGAAGCATTTAAAAAGAATAAGACTAAAGAAAGCTTAAAAACAAAAAAAAAAGATAATCACCAGATTTCTTCTTCTTACAACCATATTCTTTATCACAATCTTCTGTAGAACAGTTGCATTCCGATCTACACAGTCTCCCATAGAATCCTTCCTTACATGATGCACTGCAGTTTAAACCAAACGTCCCAAGTGGGCAGTCTAGAACAAGATTACCTATTTGTAGTTACTTTGAATAATCGTTAATGCCAACAAAGGTAGTCTCTTCACATGATATTACATGATGTGAATTTTTGTATTGTGTTGATACCTAAGCATGACCCATTGTTATGCCGGTATAAGTCTGCAGAGCATCTGTAAAATTTAACACCGCAAGAATGTTAATACTCAAGGATATATTTTTTACATTTTTTATATCATGAAATGTAAAATACTTTTTAATTTGTAATTCTACTTAATTGTTTTTCTTACTCACCTATCACCACACATTGTGCTGGATTCTGTTGCTGTGAAAATACCTAAAATAATCTGAAGACAGACATTTTGTTTATTAATGTCTGTCATTGTAAGTTTAACATTCATTGAAATTTTCATTCAAATTCCATTTCATCTGTTAAGTGTACTGCGTCCATCTATATCAAGGATTTCAGAGAAGAGATATTTATGCTCAATATAGCTAGATCCTTCCTTGTCATTACTGTGTGATATTTGATTTGAGACTCATAAGTATAGTATCACTAGAATATTTATGTGGAGAGCAATATTGAAGTTTTCAAAGTTTGTTATATCAATTCACATACCCAAAGTTGGTGACCTAAACAAGACATTTAAGCTAAAATGCATTGATACACAATTTTCATCTCGATTTTGTATTTATTGTGTACATATTGGCCTATCAATTAAACAGGCACCTGAAGTATGGATAATACCCCCCCCCCCCCCGCTTTTTTTTAATGAAAAAAATGTAAGAGTGTATAATACCTCGAAAATATAAAATTTCCCCGTCAAACACATCTATATGTCGTTATATGCAAGCAGATTGTACTTTTTCGTACGTTTGAAAAATGGCCCTAATCGAATTCGGTATAATAAAAATACACAAGGTAAGAAACAAAAGTTGTAAACAAACGGGGGACCCCTGCTTCGAGACGGATTAACAAGGTAATAATTAGTGTTACCTATCATAATTTTACAAACACTCTGTCTGGGAGATGTTCTTTTACTAGTCTCTTTTACCTAAACTCCGTATTAGCGTGTGATATGCCGTAATCGGACGATTTATTAATCGGATACATAAAATTTTCTCCATTGGCAGCGTTGGAGATGGTTTTTGAGCTGCTTTTCTGTTTCACCTTATCTGATTGGTTAGATATTTAAACTGTATTACAATTAACCAATCAGATAAGGCGAAACAGAAAAGCAGCTCCAAAACCTCCGCCAACGCTGCCAATGGAGAAAATTTGATGTATCCGATTAATAAATCGTCCAATTACGGCATATCAAACGCTAATAGCTTGGTTTAGGTAAAAGAGACTAGTAAAAAGAACATCTCCCAGACAGAGTGTTTGCAAAATTATGATAGGTAACACTAATTATTACCTTGTTAATCTGTTTCGAAGCAGGGGTCCCCCGTTTGTTTACAATTTTTGTTTCTTACCTTGTGTATTTTTATTATACCGAATAGGGCCATTCTTTAAACGTGAGAAAAAGTACAATCTGCTTGCATATAACGACATATAGATGTGTTTGATTGGGAAATTTTATATTTTCGAGGTATTATTCACTCTTACATTTTTTTTCATAAAAAGTGGGGTATTATCCATACTTCAGGTGCCTATGATCAATTACTGTGAAATCACAATTTTTTTTTTTTTGGGGGGGGGGGGGGTAATTTTCGTTGCTTTCAAGGTATGAACAGACCCACGAATTTATAACCACCACGAGATGCGACTTATCAAATTTATTACTACTAAACAATTCTTCAACCACGAATTCAAATTCCTACGAAGCAATATATCTTCCTCAAACCACGGAAATTTGACCCCTCAAAAGTATGTAATTTAGCAGTAGTTTATTTTCGGATAAGGTAATTGTATCGAAGGGATGAGTAACATCCCCTTCTGACCGTTCACACCTGCTCTGTGCTCCTTGTCATGATCGGGAAATAACGGGAAAATCCATCATCAACTAAGTGGCCAGATGGGTAATATTATTATTAAAGTATCAAATAGATTCGTTGAGATATCCCTGTTGAAGGCCTATAAGTAGAGATGGGAGAAAAAAATGTTTCCTGATCATGACAAGGAGCACACGACAAAGGGTGCGATCGATTGGCAGGGGAATGCTTACTCTTCCATGGCACCTGATCCCACCTCTGATGTTTCGGAGGTCCGTGTTTGCTCTGCTCCTTTTTGTATTGTTTTATGAGTTTTTGATCTTGATTACTGTTTGTTATCTCCATATTTTACATCCACACTAGATTGGACTTGGTTTAATTTTTCAACAGTCCAAAATGATAATAAGCATATGTACAATGCAATAACTATACCATGAATTTGTTAACATATATTGTGTCTGCATCAAAACTGTTTTTGTGGAGGCTTGTTTAAAGGGAAATCAAAGTACGTTTATTTTGAGAGTATTTGGAAGGTCGTTCAAAGAGATATCATTATAAGTATATAGAGAATATATTAGTCTAAAGAGGTTAGAAACCATGTACGTCTTCCTGAATAAAAATCCAGCATAGCCCAATCGCCTTAAATGCCCAGAAAATATCTAAATTTGAACCCATTTACTAGTATATGGTGGCGTCGCTATATGCCTGAAAGTGAAACATATGGAGATACATGTAATGAACAATATTCAAGATCAAAAGTCTGCAAAAATACCAAATGAAACTTTCCCCAATTTGACATAAAATAATACACAATATATCAATCGATCAAACTTGAATTGATTTGAAAAATATATTTTAATTCGATGTTGAAAGAGCCACACTTTGGAATAATATCTTAAAATAATGTAGAAATAAATTCGCGGAGGATCTTCACATTTAAAAAAAAACCGTCCGCGTATTAGATGATTGTTGAAAACTATTATTTGTACGTAATTTATCTTATGTCTTTCTATAAAAAGTTTACAAATTCTTTGTGTACATATCCATTTCTTTACAACTTTTTGAGGTGACAAATTATCGGATATTGTCTAAAATTATGTATTCCTCAAGAATTTTATATTTTATTAATGTTGATGTTCTTCCTACAAACTTTGTTTCTTGTATAAACGATACATTTAGAGCTTTATATACAGTTAAATCTGTAAAATTAAAAACTCTAGAGCCTCCATACTTATAATGTCATGTTAATTAATTAATTGATAACCAATTCTGTCTCTAAACTTTAAGTGCACTCTAAAATCACTAGAAATAAAATTGAACATAAGATCAAAGTAAAAGATTAATATGAAGTTGTATGTGAATCGCAACTTGTTGAAAGGTTAAATATTGATATTATATTTTTATAGAAGGATATGGAGAGAACGAACAGTATTCAATCTCAAAGTCCATAAAACAATACAAAATAGAAGCAGAGGTAGAATTAGGTGCCATGGAGGGGGAACATCTCCTGCCAACCGGTCACAACCGCCGTGTCCTCCTTGTCATGATCGGGAAATAACGGGACAATCCGTCGTCAATTCAGTGTATAAATAATTAACTAACAATAAGTATGAAAAACCTTAGTCAGCATTTGACTTAATGATGAATTGTATTTGCTGACAAGGTCATTGTATCGACCATAGATCTTACGAAATGAAAACATTAAAGAAGACAGTTGATATTCTTGTTTCATCAACTTGCTTGTCAATAATTTACCTCGTTTCAGAAATTGTCCATACGTAGAGCAAGCTCAAAATAATTTTGTAATATCAGGCTGCTTTATGATAAATAAATATTTTTAAAAAATCATTTTTAACATTTAACATCGAACTCAAAATGAAACAGTGATCCCTGAAAAAGGAAATAAAAAGATTGAAATGGAACAAGTCGGAAGCAAAAATTTTTTACCTCTCTACCTTCCTTATTCATATAAGAATATTTCATGAGAAAACAACGTTAAGTCTACGTTCGAAAATTTTAAAACCGAAATAAGATACTGCCAAAAATAGATAAAAGGGTTGATTAAAGTCATAATTTTGCAAAATCTTTGTTTGATACAATGACCTTGTCAAAAATGCAACCAAGCATCAAATCAAATTCTGAATGACCATTCAATATTATATGTATCAAGCTATTGCCGTTATGTACATACTGAATCGTCTACGGATGACAATAAGCATACGGCGGATATTACCCGCCAGCAGTAGATGGTCACTCCTCTCTGTCACCTGATCTTACCCCATAAGGTTTAAAGGCCTTTTCATTTCTCTAATAGACTATGCAAACATTGTTTTTTAATTTCATATTTCAAAAAGAATTTTCTAAATTCAAACTTCTCTGGTATTAATCTTACCAAGGAGAGGGAAAGGAAAGGTTTTGATCTATACATAGTCATCTTGATGAGTACCTGAATTAACTCATTCAAACCTTCACGTCCATAATAATATATTAAATAAATTTATTCAATTCGGATTGATGGTAAGATTACTCTTTAGCATTGATGAATATTGAAACAAAATAAGTTAATTTGATAAACACCGTAAAAAAAACATTCATTTTTTTTAAAAAAAAAAACGCGATGGATATATCATAGAGAACTGATTTTTGAAATTAAAATTGAAGCTAGTAATACGATCAAAATTGTTATAAGGAGAAAGTGTATTTTAAAAATATAAGTCATTTATCTCATTTGAGATTTAGTACATCTTCTGCATTTGAATGCAAAAACGAAGGTCTGCGAATGGCACGTTGTAATTGTTACCAATTGATTTAAACACGTGAAAATTATTTATTTGAAATTATGGAAGACAATTCAAACTAAATTTAATCAGTTATATTTACAAAAAAATGTTATCTAAAATTGTAAGGGACATCCACTTAAAAGTTGAAATCGAAATTGATAATTAGTATCCTTAGGTAAAAATCAATGCAATATTTAAAGTTCTTAATTGCTTTTACAGGATCACATTTCATTCATAACAAAGGTCATAAAAAGGTGTAGAAAGTTCATCGAATGGTAGATCTCTGTCCCAGTCACATTTTAGTAAGATTTTAGTTAATTGAACGACTGAATTTCATCCTGTGTTTGGGGTCCGTTACTTTTTTGAGAAGCATCCTCGGAGTTTTTGGAGGATAAACTGACATCAGATTCTGAATCACAGTCATCCAGACTAAGGTGATCTTCAGAAAACCAAACATTTGTCAAACTGTATGGATCATCGTTGTTGTGTGAGAACTGACGCCGAAGTGATTGATGCACGGCATAACATTCCATTTCAGAAGGGCCAAAATTTCTTCTTAAGGACAACACACTGTATTGACAACTTTCTTCAAAAATACCATAACTATTTTCCCGTTTATTGTCTTTTAAAATCTCATCTTCTTCGCTTTTTCCAGAAAAATGTACAGATAATATATTTTTGTAGTCTTCACCATTCCAAATGGCTAAATCCGGTTTTTCTTCCTT